CCCTGCGCTGACACTCAGACCTGAGGATGAGCCAAGTATCTGTCGCGGGCCCTCAGCCCGAAGTTTATTCATCTTCAAACTCCCTTCACTAAATAAACTAAACGATCTGCTCTCTTGGGCTCAAGGAGAACCGGATTCCCACTGGCACCACACACACAGATCGGCCCGAAGCCGGACTCTGCTCGGACCCTTTCCGGCGTGGGCCCGGGACGCGGGGACTCACACTGCACGTTCAGCAGCACTGTGGCGTTGTAGCTCTCCCGGCCCCGCGGGTCCGCGGCGGCGCAGGCCAGCTCGCGGTCGGACTTGCGGGCGCGCAGCGTGAAGGTGCTGTTGTGGGCGGAGCTGCTGTTGAACACGCCCACCTCCCGCGGGGGGGAGGAGGAGGAGGAGGTGAGCAGCAGCCGTCCTTTCCCGGCGTCCGCGCCCCCCTGCTCCTCGCCGTTCAGGTACCAGGTGAGCAGAGGCGGGGCCTGGAGGGGCCAGCCCTCCGACTGGCAGCTGAACTGGCGCGTGGCGTTCTCCTGCAGCGTGATTGCTGAGTGCTGCTGTCCATCAATCCTGGGCATGGGCTCCGCTGTGCCTTGTGGGGGATAGGAGACACAGGCCCAGGCCAGGGTCAGGACACAGTTATGCATCATGAGGAATAGGAGTCACAGGCCCAGGCTAAGGTCAGGACACAGCTGTGCCTCATGAGGGATAGGAGACACAGGCCCAGGCCAGGGTCAGGACACAGCTGTGCCTCATGAGGGATAGGAGACACAGACCCAGGCCAGGGTCAGGAAACAGCTGTGCCTCATGAGGGATAGGAGTTTCAGGCCCAGGCCAGGGTCGGGACACAGCTGTACCTCATGAGGGATAGGAAAGACAAGCCCAGACCAGGGTCAGGACACAGCTGTACCTCATGAGGGATAGGAGTCACAAGCCCAGGCCAGGGTCAGGACACAGCTGTACCTCATGAGGGATAGGAGTCACAGGCCCAGGCCAGGGTCAGAAAGCAGAAGACATGGGCCAAGTCTCATCTTTACTGGAAGAACACATGTAAAAGCAAATGTATCGCCTGGATGCTGGTACTTCCTGTTTCCCAGAATCCCATCCAGGCGATGCTTGAGCAATCACCATTTCCACCACACAGGTCAATACCGGCACTTTGGTGAATGCCTTCTTAACCTCCTCTTCCTCTCTCTCTCCCAGCAGGTGGCGCTGTGAGCTCCTGTGGGACTCTTACCTGTGAGGACAGAGGCCCAGCTGTAACACAGCACCAGTGCAGGCCACAGCCCCCTGACCCGGACCACACACGGCATGGCGCTTTCTGGAGAGCTGTCCGGCCCAATGTGGCCCAGTCACGCTGACCTGCAGCACAGCGAGAGACACCAGAAAGACTGTTGAGCCATGCAGCGCACCTGACAAGTTACTCATGGACTGGGAATCACGTGCCTTACTGACGGCTGTACAAAATTAAACCCACTGCACGCTTGTATTTCAATCATCCAAAAAAGAACATCCAGTGGCCCACCATCAGCCTGTGGACTGTAAGTGGAGGGCTGGAGTTCAGGAGCATTGCAGAAGGTTTTATACTGATAAACTTGAGGCTTGCAGGTTCAAATCCCATCTGAATCACTGCCCTGGTCCCCTGAGGGAGACAGTTCTCTCTGATTTCTTCTGTTAAATGCCCAGTTGCGTAAATACAGTAGGTAGGCGTGTCAGTTGGTTTGGATACAAGTGTCAGCCAAGCAAAATAATTCTAATAATTTCTATGCCCAAAAAAGGAACCAGACATCAGTTTAAATGGTTCTGCCTCCAAATATTTTGAAAGAGCATGAGCTAATTAATATTCATTCCCATGGTCCACAGCCATGGGTCCTGAAAGTGGTCACGTACTGTATGAGGCAGGTGTCAAACTGTCACTGCCTAGAAATCTACTTTGGTAGCTGTTAGCAGTATTTATCAGTCCCTTCTGCAGAGAGCTCTTGTGAAACTGAGTCGATTTTACTGACGCGCTGATATCCCCTGATTAATGCACATGCGTTGCTTAGCAGAACAGAGACATAAATTCAACCGTCAGCTGGAAATGGCGAGCAGGTATTTCACCAATACACCTGCAAGTTGTGAGTGCATGGATAGATTTTTAGATCTATGCTCAGAGTCCATGCATATCAGGCAAAGACTATCTGCATGCAAGATCGGTGCATACCTGCATGCTCACATTGCAAGCAAACTGCACAAACATGACCTTTCTCTATATACCATGTGCTGACATATGCAAAAATAACAGTACATGCATTGGCTTAATCCTCTAGCCAGGCAACAATGCTCACGAAAACTGCTGCAGGTGTTCAGGTTTAATGTGTGACGCAGGCAGTCACACTGTCAGCAGAGGACTGTGGCAGCATAAATCGGAGCCCCAGATTCTCCCAGCACCCCTGCACCTCCATAGCTCTACATCGTCCTGCGCTCCTGTAGCTCACTCAGCACCGCACACAAGCTCAAGGAGAGTAGCTGCTTTCATCTGTCAGTCTGCCGGATTTCCCTGCTTTATCTATCCATCACACACAACCCCCCTTCAAATCAGGGCTCCATTACTCAGGCCTGAAGCGCCTCTGCAGTGCAGGTTAGCTTCAGCTCTGTCCCCAGACAGAAGCAACAGATCCCCACACCCTGAATTGTTTTGTAAAGTGTTAAGAGAGGGAAAATTGAGGACATACAGTACGTACAGTACCATCACACCTTCAAGGGAAAAATCAGGGCTGCCTAAAAAAAAAAATCCCACCTGTGCTGTCCATATTGGATTAATCTTCCATATCAGAGAGTGCCTTCAAAATGTGAAAAGAAAAATCAGAAATTGGTTCGCCTCCTAAGATGCTGTGCTCAGCCCGTCAGGATGGGCGATGACCCCTGACCTGTCGTGTGTTCGGCATCTCTGGGGTGGCCTTGGCCAAAGATGCCAAGCTCCCAGATCTCCCCCTGCAGAGTACTGGAACACTCGTACCAAACATCGTCTGAATCCAGTGTGCATGTGTGTGTGTAAGCATGCATTGCATGCATGCGTGTGAGTGTTTGAGCATGCGTTGCATGCATGCGTGTGTGTGTGCAATTGGGGAGCCACCTCACTTAGTCTCAGTGTTACAGGGCGGCAGTCTAAACTGCATGGACTGGGACCCCTCAGGCTGTACCGTAGCACTGGGCCTGAGTTCAATCAGCTGTGTTTCATTCCAGGTTCCATTCCTATGTCCACTTATTTCGGTGATCATCCTACTTTTTCCCCTTTTCCCTGCCACAGGTTGTTTTTGTCTCCTGTGACCTCCAGTGCGCCCACAGTCCAGCACCAGAAACTCGTATTGCATCAATACCCTTTTTTTGTTTGGTCTCCAGTAACTACAACATCCAGCCAAAAGCACAGAACCCAGGGACACACCTGGTTTCAGAGGGTCCACGGCCCATTCGGGTGGAGACAACAGCAGGCGAAAGTCCTTGTTACCCTGCAGTACACCGAGCGAGTGTATTTATACTAAAAAAGAAACCATTTGTGCTCAGTAGGCGTTGTTGGGAAGAAGCAAGACGTTCCCACTCTTCCTGAAGTCTCAGTACCAGCTCTCCGGCCTGTTCCTTCATTCCCTACTCCCTGAGGAACAGAGTCCCAGTGCAGGTGACAGTGACAGTTCAGGTGACAGTGATACTGCAGATGACAGTGACAGTTCAGGTGACAGTGATACTGCAGGTGACAGTGACAGTTCAGGTGACAGTGATACTGCAGATGACAGTCCCAGTACAGGTGACAGTGATACTGCAGATGTAGTTTGCAGTAGCATCAAAAAGAATAACCCTTCCTCTTCTAAAGGTAGGATCATAGAAAGGAGTGTTTGGTCAAGATAAGTGTTTACAATGATGGCCACAAGAGGGCGCCCATGTCCTCTCAATTCCAACCTTGAAATCTTTGTTTAAGGAATTTCCGTGTGTATTGGAGTAGTTAAACTGTTTACTAAATAAAATGTAACTATTTTATAAAGCATTAAAAAGGACATATGTAAAGCAGAAGCAATTGTGCGGTTTAAAACTCAGTAGAAAATCAAAGAAAGAAAACAGATTGTTAGATTTTCTTGTTAGTTGAGACGCCCCCTTTGCCTCTGCACCACAGTGGCAAAAGCTTGTGTGAAAGACCTGATCTGTAAACAACTTAAAAGAAAAAGACAAGATCCACAAGAGGAGCCAAAGGCCAGCTTGTCACACCTGGCTTCTTTCAAGAAACAGCAGGATGAGATCCTCCAATAAGGACAGGGGAGGGCACTACTCTACACCAAAGGATGTGGGGGTGTGGAACAAGCCGCCCAGCCTTGTTGTCGAACCCCGGCTTCTTTCCAGAAACAGATGGACAAGATCAATCACTTATTTAGCCACCAAACGAGGAGGACAGAAAGGCCTCCTGTCGCCGGGGACTTTTCTGAAAGTGTACCCCCTGGTTTTAGTCCTGTGTGTAGGCCATTTCAGTACATGCGTGAGCGCCCTGATTTTTGTTTACATTTGTCTAAAGGCAGAGAAAGTGCTTGTTGATACAGTGTCACACACACAGCAGTGATGTGGCAGCAGTACTCTAGTATAACAGAGGACAGTGGAGCTTCCCTATTGTTAGCAAGGGAAGGGAGGAGACAGGAGCACTTAATACCTGTCCTACTTATAACAAAGACACCCGTGCGAAAGGCATGCACAAGCCCAGAGACAGTGACAGGTGGGGCATTGTGGGACTATATAGCCTGCCCTCTGCACCACTGCCGGACTCACACTGCTGTCTGATTTCCACGGGCACTGCACGACTTCACAATGAGAGGTGAGCCAGCCAGCATTGGCATTACTTTCATTCCCAGTGTCCCTTTTAACTGCTGCGAACTTACAAACACAACGCAAGAAGAAGCCTGCAATTTGAATGGAAGCACAATGTATTCTTTGTCTCAGTCGTTGTATTAGTGGTTGTAATGAGGCCAATACTTGTGGCAGTAGCAGTATTGTGATGTGGGTTGTTTGTCTCTGCTGTGCACAGACTCCAGTACAGATTATATCGCTGTTATGCTCGTTAGCAAGCTTGGTTATGGGTAGATAATAATTCCTGTATTGGGTCAAGGGTCAAAGGTCATGGAGTCCTGTCAGGTTCGTACACCACAGCTCTCGGACCACAGACACTCCCCCCGCGCAAACAACCTGACAACAGCAGGGACATAGATGCAGAAAAAGGAGACTTAGAGGGAGAAAAGGAGCGGTTCTGAAAGTTAATACACGCTAAAACATTCTGGATATGCAGTGGAAGTGTTGGGGTGTCCAGGGGGTCAGAGGTCGGGGACAGTGTGGACACGGGGACAGGGGGAGAGAGACATTGCTCACTCCTCGTCACTGTCATCACTTGTCCACGGACAGTCTGTCCATGGTCGTAAGGAACTGGGATACTGTACCGAGAGTGTGTGACTGTGAGCTCCTTTCACTAGGAAACTGTAC